GAACTAACTAATGGAAGGTATCTCTGTGTGTGTGAAAGAGAGATTCTGCCTTTCAAATAAATGAATGAATGAATGAATGAATGAATCTTAAAAAACTGAACAATAGCAAAGAGTTAGTATATCTCAAAACACTTAGAATGGCCTGGCCAAGGTCAGTGCTATATATATATATATATATATATATACACACACACATTGGGAAATAGTATTATAATGACTATTATATTTATTGTTATATTGACCTCATGGATATCTCAGACCAGCTGTGTTAAATGGAATAGGAGGCTTCCTTGTCTAAATTAACAAATGCAGGCATTTTCTTTACAGTATCCCTTAACATTCCCCACACTTGCCCTTCCCTTCAGCTGAATATTAGACTCTACTTTATACTGAGCCAAAATCTACTTTATAATGCCTGACACTGATCTTCTGGGATGACTCTTCTTTTCCATTTTTATTGCTTTAAATAATAAACAGGTATTGTTTGAGACCTCTCTGAGGAAATAAGTGGCACAGTATCTATCTTCAAGAAGCCTACATCCTACTTGAAGAAATATCCAAATGTACATTTACTTTTCTTTCTCATTGTTTTGAGACAAACCATGTGATAAAACTTTTTTAGGGGCTGGCACTGTGGCACAGTGGGTTAAGCCACCATTTGGAGTGCAGGCATCCCATATGAGCTCCAGTTCAAGTCCTAGTTGTTATACTTCCTATCCACCCCCCTGCTAATGAACCTGGGAAAGCAACAGAGGATGCTCTTAGTGCTTGGTTTCCTGCCACACACATGGAGACCCCAAATGAAGTTCATGGCTCCTGGCTTCCTTCTGGCCCAACCCCCTGTTCCCCTATTGCGGCCATTTGGGGAGTGAACAATCAGATGGAAGATTGATCTCTCTCTCTCTCTCTCTCTCTCTCTCACTCTGTCTGCCCCCCCTCTAACTTGGACTTTCAAATAAGTAAATAAATCTTTTTTAAAAGTTGTTGGTGTTTTATAAGAGCCTTTTTAATATTTTCCAAAATAAAGAAAAAATAATGAAGACTGAATAGTCAGGGATGGCTTTAGAAAGGAGGTATGTCAAGAACAGGAATTTATTTCCACATTCTTTTGTTAATTGACTAATTAGTTCATTCTTAAAATATTCAAACCTTTATATGCTGCATCTTTGAGGAGTTTAATTCCATCCCTCTTTTGCCTTTATTCTTTGTATTACTTGAAAGTAATAAATTTGCCCTGCTGAGCCCTTCTCAAATAGAATTCTGTTTGTATCCTTGGCAAAATCTGGAAAACCTAAGCCCTGAGTCATATCTTAGCTTCCTTAAATCATTCCACCAGGGCCCATTAGCTCCGCTCTTTCTGCTAATCAGGTTAGGCATCCTAACCCACCCAGGAGAGGAGCTAGGACAGCTGCAGGCAGTAGATGAATCCTCCTGATAGCACGTAATCAGAATCAGTGGAGACAATAGGCTCTGAGAGTCAAGTTGCTGAACTTGGCTAGAAGTGGAGAGAACTGGAATGATTGAATTTAAAGCATGAACCTTGAATGGATATACTAGGAAATGAACAGCTGAAAATAGTGTCATAATTCAGGAATCTCAGAACTGTAGGGATCACTTGCTTCTGACGACACGCTCACCCAGTGCTCCACGAGACTCAGACTCAGCCAGAAGCAACTATCACAGACCATTGGCAGGAGATGTCTCGTCCGCTTTCACTGGAATTCTCCCTTGTTTGGGACTTTGGAACCCTGAGACTACCTTGTTCCACCAGCTTCACATTCGTGCATCTTCAGTCACATCATAAGTGAAGAACATCGTATACTCTGCGTGTGCTAATCCCTCTATCGGGGCCAATCTTCCGTCTCTAATCTTGGCTCTCCACTGATCCCCTCTCCTTTCTGCCTCCCTTTCTGATAGAGACTTTCCTCTGAAACTCAGCTCTGTTGTTAATAAACTCACTTGGATCCTTCAGCCTCTTAGTCCACTTCTTCGTTCACTTCTCATCTTAACCAGACTGCTTGGTGCATGATACTTAAATATTTGTTTAATAAAACAGTGAACTAAATACTGACTTCCATAAAGGCCATTGCTTCCCACAACGCCCTCTTAGGAGGGTTTTCCTACACTGCACATAAAGAAGGATCAGGAGATTACTTTTCCTTTACTCCCCACATATCTTTCAAGCCATTATTTCTCTATCTCATCACTTGGAACTCCAGAATTTCAATATGGGAAGGTTTGGGATAGCAAAGAGTGCTAGGAGATTTGTCTTAAAGCTGCACTTACATTATAAGAAATATGTTGTTACTTATGTGTTCATTCACATTGGCTTTGGGAGTAGGAGATAAACAGACCCCCTGGTGCACCTAAAGATACCTCTTATAGCCTTTAATGCTACCACTGACTTTCTTCCTCTGTAACGTGTGTTGTCTACCATCCTGTCCTTCTCAGCACTTTCAGCCCACTGTGCATTTTAGATGGCATGGCCTGCCACTTCAATCATTTCTTTCCAATAAAATCAATCAACAGGATTTTTAGTTCAATCTAATATTATCAAATATTTGTACAAATCTCAATACCATCAATACCAGGTAACCTCTGCTGCTCTACAAAAGTCTCACAGCCTTGCCTCCCATCCTAGTCACTTAAGCTGCCTTGGAAAGATACCAAGGTAGTCCATAATGAGCACTTATCTGTACAATGCTGTTGGATCTATTACTTAACAGTTCTTTGCAGCCTGCTGTTTCTAAAGCCAGCACTTTCTCATTTTTCTCAACTACGTCTCTTATATCTTCTTCTTCGTGGTTTCCTCTCTTTGTCCTTGTGCCACTTGGCTTTCAATTGAGTGTCCAGCTGCTACAGGTGAGCCTTACATCCTCCACCCACTGAACCAGCCCTACCCAGAAGCATCCTTTCCCTTAAGAATCTTTCAGATCAATCCTGGGGTGAAGTAGATGATAAGGAAGCAAGAGAGCCTACAAAATACTTGAGCTGATTGGCCAGGAATCATCAACATAGGATCATGGAAAAGGCGCAATTTGAGATGGATTTTTTTTAGGATTAAGAGAATTTGAGGAGCTAGAAATGAGAAGCATTCTCTGTAGGGAAGCAATGTGAAGTGTTTGGACATCAGAAAGCATGAGAGGGTGCAATAACTCTCTATCAGTCCTTGGGGCATTCTAGTCTGGCCCAAGAGCCCACAAGAGCATTTCATGCGTGGAAAGCCAAGATACTGTGGCAAAAGATGTCCTACATGAAGGACCTCTGTGGGTGAGACTCCAGGATAAAGAAGTGATCATCAAAGAAGAATGTATTTTCTCTGAAGGGAAGAGAGAGCCTCCACTTTGCTTATGGCCTTGTCTGAATACTGAAGGATTTTGTGGATTCAAAAGGCTTCCATAGCCTAGGCAGCTCATGTCAAGAGTCTTAGGTGATTACTGATGTCATACATAAGAGTGTTAATTGTTAAATTAACAACAGGAGTCACTAACTAACTTCCCATGTAGGACCTCTGTCCTCAAAGAGTTGTATTATGAAAGTTAATAGTAAAACTTGTTCTCAAAGATCAACTTCACATTAGTGTATTAAGCAAAGGATAATCTTATGTCTCATAAGTTTTAGATAAGCCTCAGTGCCCAACTCCATTGCCCATTTCCTTTGGAACTTCTTTGATTAATGATAAATCTTGTTCTCAAAGAAAAAAAATTAAAAGAAAAATAAGAAAGGAAGCAGAAGAAAGTGTGGGAGTGAGGGAGGGATGGAGGATGGGGTTAGAAGTCATTATGTACATAAAATTATATGTATGAGATATATAAATTTTGTTCCATTTATATGTCCCGTCCCGCGGGACAGCAACTGGAGCCGAGCACCTATAAGGAGAAATGAAAGGGACAGGAGACACAAAGATGGCAGCAAGACAAGTCCTGATTAAGCTGCGATTTTTATTTTCAACCACACTCTTATATATCATAAAGGCAGGGTGTCGGGCGGGGGAAGGAGGGGGAGCTTATCTTGTAGCTGCAATGCTTGTGCAAGTAGGGGAAAGGTTACAAGGTCTTAAGGCACAAGGTCATACAAGGTTGTGTTATCAGTACTCTCCCTCCGGTCTGGGCTGTCTAGTCCTGCCTCACTAGTTTTCCACTAAGAGGCCACATGCTACATGGTCCCCAACATTTGTATAAATAAAAAATTTAAATAAAAAAGAAGAGCATAAATAAAAAGGAGTTAAGACGACTCTGACTGGAACATTTTCCTTTTCTTATGTATTCATCTCTGTTCCTTACTGAAGAATGAACATGATGACTTAGCAAAACACTCGCATAGCATATTTTAAAGCAATATTTCCCAAAGTGCTTCTATGGAAAATTAGTCTCATGGAATTCTCTATAGAAAAATAATAGTAATAATTTAGAAAAAAATGTTTAATATTCTTTCCCTTCCTTGAATATTCACAATGCATATTAGTTTATTTTAAAAGGTCTGAATTAGTCCTGTAATAAAGAAAAACTGACTTCCCTGGAAAAAGTGGGCCTCTCCTGTTTATGTTTCCATAACATGACACTCTTTATTTTCACTCAAAAAACTTTTGGAGTCTCTAACTTTATTGTCTGTTTATTTTTAATATCTTACTGAATAAGTCTCCACTAAAATTTATAACCCATGAGAACTGAAACTTTGCCTTATTGTCCATTAAGACACTAATGTAACAGCTGGGCATACATTAAGTGCTCAAAATAAGGATAAACAAAATGAAGATGAAATTTGCTCATTTTAATTTTACCTTATGTTTTCTAAGCAGTTCAAAAAAGATACTTCTGGATTTTGAACAAAACACTGCCAAAGTCAGGTCTGGTTTTCCCTCTGTGTAGTCTGTTATTGTTTCCCATTCCCACCACTCAGGGTCCTTGGCATCAGTTTTTCTCCTAATCCTTTGTCCTATTTATTGACTTTTGAAGCTTGAACAATTGTCTGATATGCCCAAATTTCTTTGTATCTTTCAGGCAAAGACTGCCACCTAAAAATGTTTACTACTACCGCTGCCCGGACCACAGGAAAAATTACGTGATGTCCTTTGCATTTTGTTTTGACCGAGAAGAAGACATTTACCAGTTTGCTTACTGCTACCCTTATACATACACCCGCTTTCAGCATTACCTTGACAGCCTACAAAAGAGAAACATGGATTACTTCTTTCGAGAGCAGCTGGGTCAGAGCGTGGTAAGACTTGTACCTGGTTTGGGAAGCCCATTAGAACTAGGCAACCCTGGGGTAGGGATTTCACAATAAGTTTACAGAATGCATAAAACGAATATTGGTGCTCTATAGATAGAGATTTAATAATTTATTATATTACGTAATATATTAAATTGTTTAGTCATTGAATAATTATTAGTTGGATAAAATCATAATTAAATAATTAGTATTATATAATATATAATTAAATAGTAGTATTAAGTAGTGTAATTAACTATTATTAGTTAATGTTGTTTTAAATATCATTTTTATTGTGTGATTCTTTGTTGCTGTATGTACCAGAAAGCCACAGAATAAGATGTGAGGTAAACAGTTGTCTTTCTGAATGAATCTGATAAAGTTTTCTAGTAAAATACAAAAGTTCTGGTAAATCTCAAAAACTGAGAAAAGAAGGAAATTTAAGAGGGAAATTTCCTGGATGTTAAAAAATATGGGAGTTTTTTTGTTGTTGTTTATTTGACAGGTAGAGTTATAGACAGAGAGAGAGACAGAGAGAAAGGTCTTCCTTCCATTGGTTCACTCCCCAAATGGCCACTAAGGCTGGCCCTGCGCTGATCCGAATCCAGGAGCCAGGTGCTTCCTCCTGGTCTCCCAGTGGGTGCAGGGCCCAAGCACTTGGGCCATCCTCCACTGCCCTCCAGGGCCACAGCAGAGAGCTGGACTGGAAGAGGAACAACCGGGACAGAATCTGGTGCCCACATGGGATGCCGGTGCTGCAGGCAGAGGATTAACCAAGTGAGCCACAGCACCAACCCCAAAATATGGAAGCATTTTATGACTATGAACCTCTCAGAGGAGAAATCTATTTGTTTCTTAGGGAAACCAAGTTGCCTCCAGTACAGTTTGGTGAGTGGTGTGCAGTTTGATTTATTACTCGAAGTGCGTTTTGTCTCTGCCACCATCAGCTCCAAACTCTCCTTTCCTTTCTCCAGCTTTCGTTCTGTGGGATTGGAGAATTCAGTGTTTGATTCCTTATTGATTTCCTATTACTCATATGACAAATTACCCACACTTGGTGGCTTAAGGTAACATGAATTTATTGTCTCATAATTCTGGAAGGTAGAGCTAAAAATATCACCAGATATGAAATTCTTCTAGAGGCTCTGGCAAAGAATTCAGTTTCCTGCCTCTTCCAGCTTCCAGTAGCTGCTTGCATGCATTGGTTTGTGACTCCTTCCATCTTGAAAGCTATTAATGATCATGCTTCATTACTTTGATACTGATTCTCCTGCCTCCCTCTTTCACTTGCTAGGTTCCTTGTGACTGATTACATCGGGTTCACCAGATAATCTAGACTACTCTCCCTATCCCAAAACCTTTAGTTTGGGGGCTGGTGTCATGGTATAACAGGTTAGGCTGCCGCATGCAATGCTGGCATCCTACATGGGGACCAATTAGAATCCCCACTGCTTCACTTCCCATCCAGCTCCCTGCTGATGCACCTGGGAAAGCAGTAGCAGATGAGTCAAGTGCTTATGCCCCAGCACCCATGCAGGAGACCTACAGACTTCCAAGGCTCCTGGCATTGGCCTGGTCCAGCCCTGCTGTTGCAGCCATTTGAGGAGTGAACCAGTGGATGGAAGATCTTTTTCACTCTCTGTATCTCCCTCTCACTATGTAACACTCCCTTTCAAATAAATCAGATAAATCATTTAAAAAAGAAACTTTAATTATCTCTGTAGATTGTCTTTTGTTATTTAAGGTAACATATTCACAGGGACTGGGGATTGAGCATTGGCCGTGTTGGGAGGACACCATGGTTTGTTTTGCCTACCACATCTCTCATTTCCTGTATCCTTCTCATGCCCAAAGTGGGACCTGAAGTTTTTCTTTTCAGTGAACTTATATTTTGCTCTTTATTGTCAACAAGTAAGGAATAAGCAGGTCAAAATTTGATTTTTTGTTTACTCTCCAAGAAGGGTGTGCTGTGTCCCTAAAATATGTATAATGAGCATATCTCTAAAGGCCCCCATGAAGACTCTGGTAGAACTGGCATAAGACACTGTGTTTATGATATGTGTTAGGGGAAAAATGGACTTCATGTAGTGGTTGTGGATTCCACATTTAAGTGAGTCCCACAAAAAGAAACAGAGAGCAAGCGAGCCTGTGTATGGGTCAGGTTTCTGAGAATAAAATCTGGTCATGATGATATTCTTATAGCCTGAGATTCTCTATACACAAAAATTTTGCTAAATGTCTTTCTTCTACTCCAGTCTTCTTCCCAACAGTGCTTCTGGTGGGTGTTGTTTGTATCTAGTGCCTATATATCTTGAACTGAAAATTGGGACACATGGTGTATCAGTCAGCATGCTAGCAGGAAACAGATGGCAGTCTCAAATTAGAATAATTTGAGGAGAGTTTAATAAATGGGCTATTTACAAGGTATGAGTGGTATGTAGGGAAACTACAAGATAGGGTAAAGTTCCCTGGAGCTAATAATGGTTCAACTGGTGTGAAGCAGGTGATGGTTACTAGAACCAAATAGTAGAAAGTCATTTTTGGGGCCAACTTGAAAGAAATAGTAACCTACACTTAAGAAGAACAGATAACCTGAGATGACCATACAGGAAGGAAGCTGAGAAGAATAAATTCCTGGTCCTTATTTTTTCTTTCCTCTGATCTTATACTAGGAGTCTCTACTGACCAACCCAAACAGAAGCCAGAGGACAAGGGAACTCATTGACATAACCTATACAAATAAGCCTCCCAGGGGAAAGAAAGGATAGAAGAGAGCAGAAAGTAAGTGTAGAGGGACAAATAAAACAAAACAAGCACATATGGTCTAATCAACAATACATTACCAGGGACAGTGGGATTATTTCAGGTGACACTGTCAGAGAAATTCTGACATGAAGCATGAATGTTTGCCAGACATATTGTTTATTATATTCATATTATTGATATTGATATTATTTAATTGATATTGATATCATTTAAGAGAATTGAGAAGATCATTCAACACTCATGACATTTAAGGACAAAATCTGTATTTCACCCTCATGTCTACCCTAGTCCCCTCTCAGATTTATTTCAGGCAGAATGCAGGTGTACATTGAATAGGTATCAAATAAATGATTGAATGAGTGAATGAAATAATGAAGATATATGTCTGGAGGAAGTGTGAAGAACTGAGAGCAGCAGAAAGCTGATAAGAAGGATTGCAGGATACGTTAGCCTTCCAGTAAGAGCAACTTAAGTAAGAAAGTTTATTTTCTATGTAAAGATGTAGGTGTAGGCAATGCACAACTGATACTGTGGCTTTGCTCCTTGAAAGCTTCAGGAAATCAGATTCTTTCAGCTTTCTCTGCTGTTCTCCATGGACGTAGCCCTCAATCTTATTATCTAATATAGAATTCTACTATCACATCCCTGTTCCAGGAAGCAAGATGCAGGAAGAAGAAGAGAAATGAAGAGAAGCAGTAATGTGATTATGTCATTTTGTAGACTTCACATCTCATTTAACCAAAGGAATGATAAGGAATGAAGTCTTTATTCAGAGTCACCCACAACTCAGCTAAAATTTGGTGGTTCCATAGCTATGGCAGATAATTGATGCATAATAAAGACAGGCTGTATTCTCTTCTATAGGAATCCTGAATTCTGCTCCCAGCCCTAACATGAAACAACTCGTATGACCTTGAATGCTACATCCCCTTTCTGGGGATGTAAACTATTTCAAATTCTCTTGGGAAAAAAAAGTAGTTTGAGATTTCTGTCCTATTTCAGATCCTGTAAAAGGCTTTGTGGGGATATATAGTAATATTATGTAACTTTTTTTTTTTAATTTGAAAGACAGAGTTACAGAGAGAGGCAGAGACAGAGAGAGAGGTCTTTCATATGCTCCCCAGATGGCTGCAAGAGCTGGAGCTGAGTTGATCTGAAGCCAGGAGCCAGGAGCTTCTTCCAGGTCTCCCATGTGAGTGCAGGGGCCCAAGCACTTGGGCCACCTTCCACTGCTTTCCCAAGCCTTAACAGAGAGCTGGATCAGAAGAGGAGCAGCCTGAACTAGAACCAGCACCCATATGGAATGCCAGCGCTTCAGGCCAGGGCTTTAACCCATTGCACCACAGTGCTTGCCCTTGTAACTCTTGTACTTCCAGAAATGTATTCGATATCAGAGGAAATAAGACACATTCAAATAGCTATAATAATTTTAAAAGTATACAATGAGGAGTCGGTACTGTGGCACAGTGGGTAAAGCTGCCATCTGCAGTGCCAGCGTCCCTTATGGTCCCAGCTGCTCCACTTCTGATCCAGCTCTCTGCTATGGCCTGGGAAAGCAGTAGAAGATGGCCTAAGTCCTTTGGCCCATGCACCCATGTGGGAGACCTGGAAGAAGCTCTTGACTCTTAGCTTTGGATTGGCTCAGTTCTAGCCATTGTAGCCATCTGGGGAGTGAACCAGCTCATGGAAGACCTCTCTCTCTCTGTTTCTCTCTTTCTCTCCCTCTCTCTAATTCTATCTCTCTATAGCTCTGCCTTTCAAATAAATAAATATTTTTAAAAAGTATATATTGAATGGTCTCATGAATTATTTACAGAGTTAGCAATCAGAATAAACATCATGGAAAAGATAGACTTTTCTTGAAGGATGGATAGGACTGCTGAATATAGACTTAGAGAATAGGGCACACATAAAGCAAGAACAGCCTGGGTCATCCCTTGGTGGTAGTTGATTGGAAGTCTGGTTTGTTTGGAATGGAAATTCATATTGGGAGATACTAGTAGACTAAGATAGACATGAAGATTCAGGCCAAACTTGATTATCATCTTTGCTTGACTATCATCTTGGCTATATCCTTTATTCAGATTTAACACAAAAACACTGGGCCCATTACTTTATAGACTATCCTATTTATTTCTTAAAATAGTTTTATGGACTAGGCAGAATTTTCCCAATTTGAGAGAAAAATTACCTAGGCCTAAAAAAACTAGTTAATTCATTAAGTTTACGTGACTACTTCA